TATGAGGTACTCTCCTCTCTCTCTCTCTCTCTCTCTCTCTCTCTCTCTCTCTCTCTCTCTCTATTTCTCTCTATTTCTCCATCTCTTTCTCTCTCTCTTTTTCCCTCATTCTCTCTCCTAATTACTCTCTCCTAATTACTTGCTATTCATTAAATTTTCATAATAAAAATAATAATAATCCCCAGAGAAATACACGCACCAATACAGGGAGATAAATAAAACTTTGGAAATTTGAAATATTCACACGTACACAAACGTCTGAGAATGTATACGTATACACACATACACACACATACATTCACCAATACATGGCATACAAAACACATACATATACACTAATACTCGATACACAAACATACACCAAAACACGAACTAACTCCCACACACTCACACACACACACACACACACACACACACACATATACTCACACACGCACACGCACACACACACATATGTATACACGCACACACACACACACACCAATACACACCACAGGTAGTTGCTTACAATGGTTGGGATTCGCGAACAGCCTTCTTAACCCTGTCATATATGCCAGGTTTAATAGGGAGTTCAGAACGCCGTTCAAACATATATTACTCTGCAGGTGTGTGTCTGTGTGTTTGTGTGTGTCTGTGTGTGTGTGTGTGTTTGTGTGCGTGTGTGTGCGTGCGTTCTTACATCATGTGTTTGGATGTCTGCTTATAAAGATGAATGTGATTAAATAGTGCACGTTCAACATTTTCCACAAGTTTTAATGGCTAAGTTTTTAATTTTTAGTACATTGAAATCTTTTTAAATAATTCAGCCTGGAGCTGATGGAATTCTGTAAACATTGAATAATAATAACTACAACTTGAGCAAAATCATGAAAAATAATTTGAATTTATAATATTTAAAACACAACAACAGCAACAACAAAATAATCAAACTCAATAACAAAAACTCACACGTACTGACACACACACAAACACAAACACACACACACACATAAATACACTCACACACACAAACAAACACACACTTACACATAAATACACTCACACACACATACAAATAAATACACACACAAACACAAACACACACAAACAAACACACACACATACACAAACACACACAGATGCAAAGATCTCGACGCCAAACTCCGCCTAGAAACCTACGCCGAGAAATACGGCCCTGGCGGGGCTTGCCAGGTCTCTTACGACGGGGGCTCCAAGCTCAACATGCAAGGTAGGCCAGGCAGCAGACGTTTGTCTAGCATAGGCAGTGTAGAGATAGTGAAGGTGGAGAGAGAGGAAGTTGAGCAGTCAAATTGCGAGAGATATGGAGTGGAGAGGAGAGGCAATAGGGGTAATAATAATAATAATGATAGTGGTAGAAACTATCGCGGATCGGCCCTACCTGACGAGAAGATGACGTTGTTGCCGTGTAGGGCCCCCTCTCAAAACGTACTCCCATCGATCCCGCGGCAGATGACCACCCAGCCGATGCTCGATATTCAACTGCCACTGATATCGCTTTCGTCGTCACCTCCATCGCCTCGAAAGTTAAAAATTCCTGATGATGATGATGCAGGTGGTGGTGGTGGTGGTGGTGGTGGTGGTAAAAGCGATAAGGATGATGACGACAATGATGTTTGTGGTAATGATACTAAAATTGGCGGCGATTTTAAAAAGAAGGAAGCTGGTGCTGATGATGAGGATGGTGGTGGTGGTAGTGATGATGATGATGATGGTGGTGGTGGAGGTGGTGATGATGATGATGATGGTGGTGGTGGAGGTGGTGATGATGATGATGATGATGGTGGTGATGATGATGATGGTGGTGATGATGATGATGGTGGTGATGATGATGATGGTGGTGATGATGATGATGGTGGTGATGATGATGATGGTGGTGATGATGATGATGGTGGTGGAGATGGTGGTGATGATCATGATGACGGTGAGGCGAGTAAGCAAAAATTGCAAAACTCTCGCGGTGACCATGATGATAACGATAATAATAATAAAAATTATAATAATATCAACAACAACAGCAATAAAAATAATAATAATAATAATGATAATAATAAAAATAGTATTAGTAATAATAATAATAACAACAACAACAACAACAACAACAATAATGACAATAATAATGATGATAATGATAACAGTGGCTCAAATTTAAACGACATAAACAACAACAACAACAATAAAAGCAACAAAACAAACATCAACAACATAGACGTACAATCTAAAACTACTAATGTTGTAACAATGAGCTCTAACAACAACAACTTCAACAACAACGACAACAACAACAACAGCAACAACAACAACAAAAATAATAACAATGAAATCAAATCACCCAAACAACAACGCGCAAACAACAAATCCGACAACCACAACGAAAATGACGAGGTGACTTCATCCTCGTCGCCGTCATCATCATCATCATCGTCATAATAATAATAATAATAATAATAATAATAATAAATTTATTGATGACATGCTTGAATTTATTACGAGTTTTACTCCACAGTCATATTCGTTTTTGCCATCATTGTATTTAATATCATCATTATTATTATTGTTTTTATTATTATTATTATTGTTGTTGTTATTGTTATTATTATTATTATCGTTATCATTATCGCCATCAGGTGTATTCAACATCATTCGCCAATTTTGGAAATTAGCTTTTTGGCAAAAATTTTCAACATTTTTTTAGAAATACAAAAAAATCTCATCCCGTCGTCATCATCATCGTCTCTGTCGTCGTCATCATCATCAAAACCATCAGTAGTAGTAGTAGTAGTAGTAGTAGTAGTAGCAGCAGTAGCAGAAGCTGCTGCAACACCACTAATATCATCATCGTCAGAATCGCGATCCTCGCTAGCATTATTTGGTCAAGTCATTTTTGGCTTTCAAGGCTTTCATGTCATCATCGTCGTCACTAACTTTAGTACTGATATATATGTACACACACACACGCACACACACACACACTCTCTCTCTCTACTTCTCTCTCTCTCTCTTTCTATCTCTCTCACTCACTAATGGTCTAATTAGTCTATCAATTAATTAAACATACTTCGTTTTTTGTCCAAAGGTTTTCTCCATAGCAATACATAGATGACAATAATGTTGTAAAAAATTTTTTTTTCAAATATCTACATGTATTTGTTTATTAATTGATTAATTTAATTATTTATTCATCTATTTATTTATTTATTTATTTATTTATTCATTCATCTATTAATTCATTAATTCATTAATTTATTCATCTATTAATTAATTTATTTATTAATTTATTCATCGATTTATATATAAACTTGTGTTTCTCTGTCTTGATTTTAACGTCAAATAAAGCATCTTAATATATTTCAGTGGGTTGTTTGCTACACAAACACACACACACACGACATCATAATCAAGTAACATGTGGTCATCATCATCGTCATCATCATCGTCATCATCATCGTCATCCCCACTACCAGCATCATTATCATCATCATCACCATCACCATCATCATTCCTATCATACATATTAAGCGCTGTGAATTTTTTCCATAATTATTATTCGTCCTTTTGCATTGGAGCGTATCTAATTCATTCTTCCATCCATCCGTCCATCCGTCCATCCGTCCGTATGTCTATTTGTTGTTTGTTTGTGTGTGTGTGTGTGTGTTTGTGTGTGTGTGTTTGTTTTAGATTGGTATGGAAGGTAATCAATCACTCATTTAGCTATTGAAAACCGGAGAGCAATTTTTTTTTTCAACAGCTAAATCAGTCATTTACTACAAAAAGTTTCATCTGTCAATCAGTCAATCAAGTTTTCCATCAATCAATCAATCAATCCATCTATCCTTCATCCGTCCATCCATTCATCCATCCATTAATCAATCAACTAACCAATCGACCAAACTGATCAACCGAAAATGCTCTAAATCGAAAAATTTCATAGAACTATGGTTCTCAAATTTAAGGATTGTTAAACCCGAAATCTAAAACATTTACTAAATAAGATATATTAACCATTTAATTTTAAAAATAAAATAATAATTGAAGTAATTTATTTTAAATTAAGATAAATCTGTTTACAAAATAACTCTTATACTGAATAAAACAGTAAATAAATCAAACCATTAATTAATAAAGCTAAAGCTTGCACAAAAAAATATATTCTGGTCGATTTTTTGCTAAGATTATTGAAAATAAATTTAAATATTATTTAGATAACTTATTTTTTTCATTTATATTTTATAATATTCTTAATACGAATAATTAATTCCCTGTATAAAAAGAAATATTCAGAATTCAAATTTGCATTAATAACTTAAATCCCATTTTAAACTCTATGCCAGTTCAGTCACCACGTGTTTATTTTTCTTCCTAAATAGAATAAAATCTTTTTTTTAACGTTTTAATCGAATAAAATAATTGAATAAACATTTAATTATTTAATTTTTAATAATTTGTAAATAGATTTTAATTAAATTAATAATACAAGATGGCGGATGGAAATATTGATTTCACGGACGAAAGAATTTTCAGGTTGGTCCGGAAAATAGCTGGCAATGAACCTCTGCTCCGATCCAAAAGCTTCAAACGACTGAAATTATTTCTCAAAAATTTGCCAGGTTTTGTTTATTTTTTTATCAACCAAGTAACTATTTCATCAAATAACTAATATAATAAAACTAACTTTCAGCTTCGACTACAAATCTGACCATGGCTAAACTTTGGAAAGGCCTTCATTACAGTATGTGGATGGCTGATAAGATGATTTTTCAGGTTTCTTCCACTCTCTAAAAAATTTTTTATAAATTTATTAATGTGTAAAAGTAAATCAATTGTTTGTTTGTGGTACAGTTGGCTGTTTAATTGACCTTTTATTGAAAAGTTCATCTATTCAGTTGCCCAATTCATACATTTATTTGTTTTACTGGTTCATTTTTATTCATTTCTTAACTGAAGACTGATTGACTGAACAGCAGATGATGATTCTTTGGATGGTTGATTGATCTCATATGTCCACACAAACACACACAAACGCGCACACACGCATGCAACATCGCAGGAACAGCTGGCGGACAGCATCTCGACAATCATCCACACTCTCCCATCGGACGAACTGTCGATGATGTTTTTTGACGCCTTTCTTCAAGTCGAGGCCCACGAATGGCATCTCATTGATGATCTACGAATGGATAAATTTTTAAGGGTTGGTTGGTTGGTTGGATTGTTTGGTTGGCTGGTTGGTTGGTTGGTTGGGTTAGTGCTAAAATTAAATTAAATTTAAAGCCATAAATGATAACTATCATTTCATCATTAGTAATAGTTAACTTCCTACCTACCCCCCCATCTATAGCTGGTTAGGTTCATGTTTAGGGAAACGTTCAGATTCATGAATAGCAGCAAGAACAACTGGAGCCAGATGGTTTCCAAAAAATTTTGCTCGAGTTTGTCAAAAACATTCAATGATCCAAAAATATCGTTGAATCTGCTCTTCCATATTTTAGATTTTTTTCTCGATGAGTTGGAAAGAGTTGCAGGCAGTGAGGTCTGGGGAATTTTTCAAACAATAATTTCAGTGTCTTTGTTTTTTTTTGTTTGTTATGATTTGTTTTCTATGATTTTATGCTAAGCTTCATTAACTTTTCACTTGTTTTTATTGTTTATTGTTTTTGGTTATATGTTAGAGCTTTATTTATAATTTGGTCATTGTCAATAATATCATTATCACTGTTACCATTATTATTATTATTATTATTATTAATGATATTATTGTTATTATTTAGTACCCAGAACAGTTCATCAAGTCTGTTACTAGGGTCTTCATAGACTGCATATCAAAAACAAACAAGTTAGTATCGGATATGTGATATCTCTCTCTTTCTCTCATATACTTCTTCATTTTTTTTCATTTTCATCATCCAACAGTGAGTACCTGGCAAAAGAAATTAAAAAATTGTACCTCAATAAAATCGCCACATCCCAGTATAAGGTTTCAGTTCGCTTTTAGTTATTTACTATTATTATTATTATTGCAGTATGATTATTATTGCAGTATGAGTAGTAGCAGCAGCAGCAGTAGTAGCAGCAGCAGCAGCAGTAGTAGTAGCAGCAGTAGTAGTAGCAGCAGTAGTAGTATAGTAATGGTAGAATGGTCAAAATATTCGTAGCAGTAGCAGTAGTAGAATATTAACAATAGCAGTATCATTATTATTATTGTTTATTATTATTATATTATTATTATTATTTTATTATTATTAACGTAAAGATGACTGAAGCAACTTTGAAAGAGATGTCATTCTCCAGGGCCTCTAAAAAAAATTGCAAGAATCGACCCATCCTTTTCTCCCTTGTCAAAAAAAAGTCTGTATTACATAATAAGATGTGGATATAGCGATTATGATGATTAACATGATGTGCGTGTGTGTGTGCGTGCGTGTGTGTGTGCGTGTGTAATGTATGTATAGTTTCATTACTACAGTGATTAATTATTATAAATAATAATTATTTTATTTGTTTATTTGGCTTTCAGAAAGGCTAAAAAATCGAAACCCAAGAAACCTGCCAATGATAATGATGACATGTCTACGGAGGAAAATGGTGATGATGACGTCATTGATGACGTTAATGATGATAATGACGATGATGCCGAGAATGATAATGATGGTGCTGCTGGTGATGATGATAATGACGACGACGACGATGATGATAATGATAATGATGGTGAATCGTAACGATGACTTTTTTTTAGCATTTTTATAAATGGAAGTTTTTTTTGTCTTAAAGTAAAAAGAAGAAATAGATCCCTGCGCTGTGGTAAAATAAATTAAAATATAAAATACAATGTAAAATAAAAATCACGTATTCTAGAACCTACAGACACAAAATTATCAAATAAAAAAGTCGATATTGATATAAATGTCTCATTCCCAAGCAATCCATTTCATTTTGACTTGTCTTAATGGATGAAAAAGATGATGATTTGTATATATATATATATATATGTATGGTGTTTAGTGTTTATTATAAACTTTCAATATTTTTAGAAACTATTGTTATGAAGAACTTTTAAAAAAAGTGAAGAATTTTTTAAAGTTAGGAGTGTATACACCCAGGAACGGTTACTTCTTTACTATTTTAAGGTTCGTCACTGAATGAAGTTTCTAAGACATTCGGGTAAAAAAATTACAATTGGCTTCGTATGTACGCTATATACGCTGGTAAATAGTTCAAAACTTTGTCCTGAAAAGTGGACCATTTAGGTTTTTTCTGAAGTTTTACGAATTTCAAAGTTTCTAAAACGTTTAAAAAGTTTGATAAGTTTATTGATCATAATTCTCTAACAAATATCCAAAACTAATAAATATTTTATGGAAATTATGAATCCAGTTTAATATGTTATGGGGAAAAAATTCTTAAAAAATTGACCGCTGGCGAATTGACTGAAAAAAAGAATAAATTAGTTAATTATTGAATACAAAGAATATTGAAAAATTAGGAAGAAAATAAAATGAAATAAACCCATTCTAGAGGAGACCATCAGAAGACTGTATATAAGTTTACACATAGATAAAAAACAACAATGAATAAAAAAGAAGTCTTTCGAGTTCAAAAAAGTAAAATTTAATGACTAAAGTATATATGTACACACACACAAACACACACACACAGACACAACTTTTTTTGCTAAAAAGTCACTCAAATTCAGTTTGGTAGTTTCCGAGATATCTGCCCCCGAAAATAACGATGGAAAATCCAATGAATGAATGAATGAATGAATGTATGAACGATTAAAAGAATAAATGAATGTATAATTAGATGAACGAATGAATGAACTAGAAGGAACAGAATGAGTATTAAAGATAGTTCGTGAGAATGACGAAAAAATTGAAAAAGAAATCAAGACATGATATATAGAACGATATTACAGTTATTATATAAATATTTACAAATATATAACACACACACGCACCACACACACACGCACACTCACAATGATATACAGTTGTATAAGAAATTGTCATGAAATGGTTAACTATAAGGGTATATACATATATTTATATATATAGTTTATATTATATATATAGTGTTTATGTTTGTATACATATATTTATAATACATACATACATATATATATATATATAGATATATATATATATATATATATATATATATATATATATATAGATATATATATTTACAATATTCTATAAATTCTACCGAATGTTTGGCGTTAATATGTTTGTAGTTCGTTTTTTCGATTTTTCTCACTAAAGTTTTTTGGTGAACGTTTAGTTTATTAAAATTCAAAATAAACTTATTTTTCGAATTCATGCTGCAAATAAGGCCGTATTTCGATTCCGAATGAATCATCGTCAGTGCTCCTTGCTGTATATATAGGGAAATATTGACTTTGTCAAGATTAACTTTGACGTTGTGAAAATTAACTTTGGTGTTGTAAAATTGAACTTTGATGCGAATTAGGTGTCAGGTTTCTTAATTGTTTGGTCATCTTCTTTGGTCTCCTTTTCTTCATCGATAGCATCATATTCTTCTTTGTCTATATTTGCAGCATGAATTCGAAAAATAAGTTTATTTTGAATTTTAATAAACTAAACGTTCCCCAAAAAACTTTAGTGAGAAAAATCGAAAAAACGAACTACAAACATATTAACGCCAAACATTCGGTAGAATCTATAGAATATTGTAAAAATTATGGTCTATTACCAACATATATATATATATATATATATATATATATATATATATATATATATATATAATATATGTCTTTTAAAATCATTGTTTTTTAACATTGCAATGATTAAAACGTTAATAATA